TTTTTTTTTTTTTTTTTTTTTTGTGGCATGTGCTTTTTGTGTCACATCTAAGAATCTCTTGCCTACCCCAAGATCACAAAGATTTACTCCTAGGTTTTCTTGTATGAGTTTTTTAATTTTAGCACTCACATCTAATTCTATAATCTATTTTGAATTAATTCTTTATTGTGTGAGGAAAGACTCCAACTAAATTCCTTTGTATATGGATATCTAGTTTTCCTAGTTCCACTTGTTAAAAACAATATTATTTCTCCTTTGAAATGTCATGACACCCTGTTGAAACTAATTGACCTAGAATGTAGCTAGCATTTTAATAGGAATTATATTAAATATGTAGATCAATTTAGGGGAGTGTTGCCATCTTCACAACATCAAGTCTTCCAATCCATGAGCAAAGTACATCTTTCCATTTATTCATGTCTTTTATTTCTTTCCTCAGAGTTTTGCAGTTTTCAGACTACAAGTCTTGCACTTAATTTGTTAATATTATTTCTAATTATTTTTTATGCTATTGTAAATGGAATTGTTTACCTAATTTTTTGGCAGGTTGTTCATTGCTGATATATAGAAATACACTTGATGTTTTTAATATTAAGCTTGTATTATGCAAGTTTGCAGAACTCATTAGTTCTAATGTTTTTTATCTGTGTATTTTTTAGTGGATTCATTAGGATTTTCCATATTCTAGATTATGTCATCTCTTAATAGGTACAGTTTTTTTTATTACTTTTCAATCAGAATATATTTTATTTATTTTTATAGCCTAATTGCCATGAGTAGAACCTTTATCACAACATTGAATATATTTGGTGAAAGCAGACATCATTGGCTTCCTATCATATGGGTAAGGATTCATTTCAATCTTTTACAATTAAGTGTGAAATGAACTGAGGGGTTTGGGGCCTTTATCAGAGAAAGGTCCCTTTCATTTCTAGTTGGATGAATGGTATTTTATCACGAAATGGTGTTGGATTTTGCCAAATGCTTTATCTGTCTATTGAGGTGATTATGTGTTTTTTGTCCTTTTTTCTAATAATGTGATAATATTGCATTAATTGACTTTCAGATGTTAAACAACTTTTCATTCCTGGAATAAATCTTAGTCATGGTGTGTAATCATTTGTTGGATTGGATTTTCTAGTTATTTTGTTGAGAATTTTTGCATTAATATTTATAGGGAATATTTGTTTATAGTTTTTATATGTTGCTTTCTTATGATGTTTAGTTTTGCTTCTAGGGTAATTATAGCCTCAAAAAATGAGTTGGAAAATATTTATTCCTCTACTTTTTTTGGAAGAGTTTATGAAGAACTAATTTTAATTCTTCTTTAAGTGTTTTTTAAACTAAAAATGTTTCTAGACTTGGACTTTTCCTTATGCTAAATTATTTATTTAGTAATTCGGCTTCATCTTATTGATGTTATACATCTAATAAGATTTTCTATTCTTGAGTCAGTTTTGGTAGTTTGTGTCTTTCTACGATTTTTAAAATTTTGTCTAAATTATCTAGTTTGTTGGTGTACATTTATGTACAAGGATATAGTATACCTATAATATCATTTTATTTCTGTAATATCAATAGTGATGTCTCCTCTTTCATTCTGAATTTTGTAAATTTGAGTCTTATCTCTTTTATTGTTGGTCAGTCAATCTAGCTAAAATTTGTCAATTTTGTTCATCTTTTGTAAGTACAAACTTTTGGGTTGTTGATTTCCCTATTGTTTTTGGTTTCTGTTACATTGATTTCAGTTCTAGTCTTGACTCTTCCTTTGGCCTATATTGGGGTGACTTGCTCTCCTTTTTTTTTAGTTTCATAAAGTGAAAATTTAGATTATTGACGTGAGACCCTTCTTTTTTTAATGGAGGATTTAGAGCTAAATATTTCTCTCTAATCACTTACTTAGATGCGACTCATAAGTTTCAGTGTTTTTTTAAAATTCATCTAAAAATATTCTTAAATTTCTCTTGTGATTTCTCCTTTGATTCATTCATTATTCAGGAATGTACTGTTTAATTTTCACATTTCCCAAATATATTTAAATTATAGATATTTAACTTTATTGTGAACAAAGAATATATTTTGTTAAATTTCAATACTTAAGCTTCATATTTAAGCTTGTTTTATGGCCTAGTATATGATTAATTCTGAAGACTATTTTATGTGTACTTGAGAAGAATGTCTATAATGCTTTTGTTGAGTGATTGCTCCCTAAATGATTGTTAGGCCTATTTGGTTTGTAATATTGTTCAAGTCTATTGATTGAACAATAGTCTGTCTAGTTGTTCTACCCATTATTTAAAATGGATTATGAAGTTTCAGATATTATTAATGAGTTGTCTATTTCTCCCTTCAATATTGTCTTCTTTTGCTATATGTATGTTGAGGCTCTGCTTTTAGGTACTAATATTTTTATAATTGTTATATCTTCCTGATAAAGTGACTTTTTTTGTTATAAAATATCTCTCTTTTCCTTTAATAACATTTTTTTGTTTTCTTTTTAAGTCTACTTTGTTTTGTAGTATAGCTACTCCGGCTCTATTATAGCTACTGCTTGCATGGTTAAATATTTTCCATTCTTGGGTCCTCAATCCATTTTAATTTTAATTTTTATTATTTTTTAAATTTATCTTTATTGTTGAAAGAATTATAGATGTCCCCTTTTTTCCTCCATTGACCCCCTCTACCCTCCACCCACCCCCTGCCCCAGGCCTAAATCTAACATGTATCACTTGCAGAATTTATAT